ATATATATATATATAATATTATTATATAAATAATATATGTAATATATTATTATATAAATAATTATATATATATTTTTTATTTCGAGCTAAAACGAGCCGAACACGAGCGAACAAAGAGCTGTTCGTGTTCGGCTCGTTTACTTAACGAACGAGCCGAACACGAACTATTCACGAACAACAAGCTTTTTTGACAGCCCTAGTTATGTGATTATTGGTATTTTTGTGTAAGTATTATGCATGTATACGTGCGAGGGAAGCTTGGTTGGAGCTCAAATTGTTCAGGTAAATTTTATTCCTTGTGTAGGCATTCTTTAAATTTTTGGAAGTTTAGAGATGGCTCTATATCTTAATAGAAGTTATAAGGTTTGTCTGTTTTATATATTAGTCGATGTGTTTAAGAGGATGATCTTGATATAATTTTTCAAGATAAAGTTTTTTCATCCGTGTATTTGGAAACATCTCTGCTAGTCCCGTCTTTCTAGCTATTAAAATAATACCTTCATAATAATGAATGAGTAATTATTACTATACTACTATTTTTTGATATTTGACATGTTTGTTCTCTCATCACTCGTGTATTTTGGATTACACCACATTACGTGAGATAGAAAGGGCTCTTTTATCATAATTTGTTCTGCTAACATCTTGTTATTCATACATGAATTATTATATAATTATTACTATCTTAAAAATGCTCCTGTTTTTAACATATACTCTTTTGATATTATTGAAAATGTTCAATGCATCATTTTGACTTAAGTTGGATTTGATAGCGGTGTTTTTTGCTTGTGCTTTTGTTATAATAAATTTTTTATTACAAATTCCTTACTCTATTATTGGTCTTTTGATTTAGTGTTGGAATATTTAGTCTCATTTAAATCATGCATAATCTTATTAACAATCAAGACCTTAACTATTGACCTTGTATAGCATGCTCATTATATGATCTACTTAGTGCCAGTTGATTTATTCACATATGGTTCCAAGCTATGTTATTGGCGTAGAGTGATTTTTTTTTGACATTTATTTTTATAAGTATATTGGGACTCCATGTTTTTTCATATAAATATATAATATTTTCACAATCATGCAGTCATGGTGTCTCCATCATTATGATTATATCTTTTGGAATATTTGATTTGGATAAAATTATGATCGAAATTGTTTTTTCTTGATATGATTAGTGATATGCCTTTATTGCTTGTTGTTTCTCTTACCTTGTGTTGAATCCTCTGATAGGTTTCATTTATTCCATTAGGCTTGATGCCTACCCCATTGTATCTGTGTTGTTGGTTTCATGTAAACGAAATAATTTGTGATGGTTATGATGTTTCATAGAAATATTAGCGGATGCTTGCATCATGGTTTTGCTAGTTTGTTCTATGCACGTCAATATT